CATGATCCCCCTGCAGATCGTGGTGGGGGGCATGCCTGTACCACCCAGGCACTCCCCCTGTGGCCAATTACAGCAATCTGCAGGAGGTGATCACAGTGACAGCCAGTCACTGTGATCACTGTTCCTATGTGTCAGCCAATGATCTCAAATCACTGGCTGACACTGTCTCTGCCTCTCTCCTCCCCTTAAGGTTAATTACAGTTAAAAATAAAATATACTTAGATCATATATGTGTTAAGGCCGTTTGGCCTGTATTTGTGGAAGGGGCTGGAATGAAGTCACTCCACACCGTTCAAGGTCAGCGTCTGAATGCACTTCCGGTTCATCCAGTCGCCATTTTGGAATACTTCTGTGTCCCACGGGGTTTTTCCATCGCTGAACTGTGTCCAGGAATCCTTCTGCAGATTTCCTTTGGATCAACTTCTTGCCTACTATCACCGCGGATCGCGTCCTAGTGACTATCTAACAGTAAGTAGACCTAACCGTTACGCCAGGCAACAAGGCCCATGGCATCAAATACGGTTCAGGTCCTCACTTACTGTACGCGTTCGGCTATTTCTGCACTTAAAATCTGTATACTCTATCCGTCCGGGTTCAGCTGATCGCTTACACAGCATTTTCGTTAGACGTTCGGTACTTAATATGATGTGCTGCATATTTCTCCCATTTAATTAATCGCTTAAACATTTTCGCATACATGTCTACGTTGGTGCGGTCAAAACGCACGAACACGCTATACAAGTAATGCTACTGATTCTCCTGTCACTTACTGTTCGGGACTTTCACATCGCACAAACAATATTCACATATATAATAGCACTGCCGATTGGGCAGCCGTTCGGCCATAGCAAGTCAAACCCTGCTAGTCTTATGTTGTCCAGTTTGTTGTCCACGAACGGACAATTGTTGGGAATAAAGAATTATTGCTTAAATGTTACATGTTGAGAACTACACTCACGAATGGGAATCTCACAGCTATATCATACTTTTCCCTAGGGGGTTTATATACATGTCTACATTTGCCTTTACTACTACATTTGCCTACCAACTACAAGGCGACATACAGAATTAAGGAGATCTTACAAACACCATCTCCTGACCTATACAGGTCAATACGAACATAATTAAAGATAATATAATTGTGTCACTTGTATATATTTTTCATACGGTTCATCTATTTAGTTACAGTTACTACTATTACCTATACGGATTACCAGGTTCAATAACCTATACTACCAGGTACGTACACTGCTTATAGTAGACCTATTCAAAATCCCCCACAGGACAGACAAGTACTGGCAATTAGGGTCATAGGGTCCAATAGTTACCGTAATTCCCCTTTTTTCTGCAATTATGCTTAGGATTAGTGGTCCCGCGAGGCCAACACCCCTCGGCCCACACGTGAGCTAGCCGCCTCGCACGTTGCATAGAGAGGGCCTCACCTGTCACTCCCTTTCCTATTTTCTGGTTACAGTCACCGAGAGGCCGACATCCTGCCACAACGTTCGGTGGCCACGAAATCCCCTCGCGCCAACCATAGATAGAGCCTCTCGAGCCACTTGGCAAGTAGCAGGGTCTCACCTGTCACCAATAAGCAATAAGCATAATGGTTTCGCCTCACGGCATAGCTAGTAGCCAGTACTAAACTAATAAGTTCAAATAATACATTTATCTTTCCTTTTATTTAAGTATGTCTCTTGAAGGTGATGAAGAGCTATCTCTTCATGCCACCCCAACTAGGGTCGAGACACCCTCTCGTAGAGGAGACATTGCCAGTCCAGCATCAGTCAGATCCTGGACGATCCCACGTATCACCACAGAATTAAGGAGGCGACAAATCCCTTACCCTGCCACAGCAAGGAAAGCGGAGCTATTTAAACTCCTTAATACTACAATCGACAACACGGAAGCAGGGTAAGGCCCCAGCAACACCAATTCAGGTGATATCCAGGCTATGCAGGCCTCACTCATGACCTCTATGGGCAAGGTCAATGACAGACTGGCTAATCTCGAGGCAGTCACCACAGCCCTCACCAAGGCTGTGTAATATCACATTACTTTACATCCCAGCCCACATTAGGAGGGACATCCTGGAAGACGTCAACCTGGCATCCCTACTAATTGCCTCCCAGGATGTGGTGGAGAACAAAACCTATATGTACGATGAGGTTTCTGTAGTGGTCAGATCAAAAGACGCAAGGTTAAACCGTAAACTGACCATTCCAGAATTTGTGTTAGCCTTTGGTATTTTTAGAGATGTAATTTGTGAAGTGTACCCTAATAGAAGGGAAGAATTTGATCGCTATATGCACAAGCTGGTGGACCTAGGGAACAAATATGGTGGATCTGCTTTTTATGACTACCATAGGTCTTTTTCCACTAAAGTGTCTGGAGCTCTCTCTCAGTATGGTACCCGTATCAACTGGAGCAGACTAGATACAGAGCTGTTTTGTAGACACTTCGCAGGTCTGAAAACACCAGCTTGTGCATCCTCCTCGTCTACCACTCACACTACCAATTTTTGTTCTCACACAGCAGACGACCGTAATCAGTCACCTAGCACAAAGTACGCGGGTAGAACTGAGAGAACCACCAGAGACAAACTGGGTCGTCCCATCATTTTCTTTGGTAAATCACAAGTGTGCAATAATTTCAATGTGGGTACATGTAGCTTTAGTGCATGCAGGTTATTGCATATTTGTTCACATTGTTTCAGGGAACATGCTCATACCATGTGTCCAAATAAAATGTACCCTAAACCGTACCTAACGTCTGTTAACATTCATGTCTTCTCAGCACTACTAACCAATCACCCTTCCAGACATATGGTACATTTTCTCATTTCTGGATTCTCAGAGGGGTTTCATACAGGCATTATACATATGCCCACAGGCCAACTCGAATGTCCTAATTTACAATCAGCACAACAAAACCCAGCAGCCATAGACACACTCTTAGCCCAAGAGCTGGCAGAGGGGTTAACCAGGCTAGGTCTTAACCCTTCACTCTACTCAGGTCACTCCTTCCGCATAGGGGCGGCTTCCACAGCTTCCAGCGCAAACATACCGGTGCATTTCATTAAGTCATTAGGGCGGTGGAAGTCATCCGCCTACACAACCTACATACCAAAACCGACACAAGAATTAAGAAAGGCTTTTAAAGAAATGTCTGGATAATTGTATGAAATTGTTGACTGTATTAAATCTGCGATTATTAAATTTTTGCCCTCTTTATTTACAGGCCTACCGTATCGTCTGTATCGGCACACCACAACCGACTTTGCTCGTTTATACTATCCTATGTTCTCACTTGAACCTACTCCATATACGGCTACATTGCCCCTTACACAAGTGTTAAGGCCGTTTGGCCTGTATTTGTGGAAGGGGCTGGAATTAAGTCACTCCCCACACCGTTCAAGGTCAGCATCTGAATGACCCTCCCACCCATTCCTCTTTTACAACACTTTCCTCTTTCAATTCTATCTTACTTTATTTCTTCTTGGCGGGCCCTCTTTATTTACAGGCCTACCGTATCGTCACACCGTATCGTCACACCACAACCGACTTTGCTCGTTTATACTATCCTACGTTCTCACTTGAACCTACTCCAGTCCATATACGGCTAAATTGCCCCTTACACAAATATATACACACACACATTTACACATACTGTCTAAGTGTATTTTAATATATATATATATTAGATTCTGTATTTTTCTATATTATATATATTATATATATATAATAGAAAACAAAATGTAAATACCTTAAAAAAAATAAAGTGTAATTTCGTCCTAACTATTTTGATATTAATATATATACACACAGAATGAAATATATATCTATATATTCAAGTAGATTGCAGGTAGTGATCAACACTCCCAAAGGGTTAAAAATGTGAAGTTTGTTGAATTTCCTTTAAAATACAATCGACGTTTCAGTCCCCTCTGGGACTTTCATCAGGATCAGGCGTGAATAACACAATAAAGCAATGCATTTATATAGGAAAGGAAATTAGAGTGAAATGACTTAACCCTGGTGGTGGGAATGGTGTCACTAGCGGTCCCTAGTGTTCTATGCGCGGAATAAGCCATGCCCCCACATGACGTAATGACATCCCGCGTTGCCGTGGCAGCAGGACGTCCAGTGGAGGTGCCATGTGACCAGTGTTTGTGACTAACTGGCTACTAAAAGACTGCACATAACCCATTTGCAAAACCTTGGGTTGTCTACTATTGCAAATGGTATGCCATCATGGGGGTAATTCTCACTCCTGGGCTACCATACGCTCTTCAAAGGCAACGTAACCAGTCTGGCGAATTTCAATGTGAAAAAAAATGAAAAAGGTAACACGCTATATTTGACCCTGTAACTTCCCAAAACACCATAAAACCTGTACATAGGGGGTACTGTTTTACACGTGAGACATCGCTGAATACAAATGTGTATTTTTTTTGCAGTAAAAGCAAACAGTATTTTGTCATTCACAGTTAGAATGTCACGTAGAACAAAAAAATTTTAAATCTTATTTTCTCCCATTTTTTTTTTTTTTACATTTTATTCATATTAAATTATGTTTCATACCTAAGTATTTGATGTTAAATGAAAGCTGTTTCCCCTGAATAAAATGATATATAAGTAGCGTGGGTGCACATAATATGAAAGAGGCGAATTACGCCTGAACAGACATTTAGCGCAAATTCCAGGTTTTGTTTTGATCACAACGTGCACATTTGGCTCAGTCCTTAAGGGGTTAAATGTGTCCACCGAAATGTTTTTTTTTTTTTCTGATTGACATTTGGATTGTGTTGTTGGTCTTATGGTCTAGCAAGAACTTTAGAGTATGATCTAGCGGGATGTCTAGCTTCTGGAAGGTATCCACCAACTCAATAGCACCGTGTACACTGGACATACCGTAACATCACCGATAGTGAGTCGTGGGGTACCTTGATTAGTGAGACAGGTGCTGGTAAGGCAATTACTTCATTATTCACCTGGTCCCTGCCAAAAACACTCATGTTTTTAAGATACATGCTAGCAAACCATTTTTCTTTTACTAAGATAGCATGTACCAAAGCATTATCACGGCTTCAAAGTGTGCGCTTTGAGATATTCTGGAGAGTTTTACTGATTCTTAGACTGTCTAAGATTTTTCTCTTTACTGTTACAGGTAAGATTCATCTGTAGGAAAAGGTTACTGATTGCACAAGGTTTGAATTCCTGTTGGTAATTATAAGGCATTTGATTTGATCAAGCTAGTTACTTGCTATTGATTGCTGGTTAATTAGCTATTGTTTGCAAATACGCAGAGGCCTACCCAGGTGTTAAACATTCCTAGTGGGCGGTGATTTTAGGAGTTATATAAAGGGTTGTGGTCAGTAGCTTTTTGCTGATGATACTAAGATATGTAACAGGGTTGATGTTCCAGGAGGGATAAGCCAAATGGCAAATGATTTAGGTAAACTAGAAAAATGGTCAGAATTGTGGCAACTGACATTTAATGTGGATAATGCATCTTGGACGTAAAAACCCAAGGGCAGAGTACAGAATATTTGATAGAGTTCTAACCTCAACATATGAGGAAAGGGATTTAGGGGTGATTATTTCTGATGACTTAAAGGTAGGCAGACAATGTAATAGAGCAGCAGGAAATGCTAGCAGAATGCTTGGTTGTATAGGGAGAGGTATTAGCAGTAGAAAGAGGGAAGTGCTCATGCCATTGTACAGAACACTGGTGAGACCTCACTTGGAGTATTGTACACAGTACTGGAGACCGTATCTTCAGAAGGATATTAATACCTTAGAGAGGGTTCAGAGAAGGGCTACTAAACTGGTTCATGGATTGCGGGATAAAACTTACCAGGAAAGGTTAAAGGATCTTAACATGTATAGCTTGGAGGAAAGACGAGACAGGGGGGATATGATAGAAACATTTAAATATATAAAGGGAATCAACACAGTAAAGGAGGAGACTATATTTAAAAGAAGAAAAACTACCACAACAAGAGGACATAGTCTTAAATTAGAGGGACAAAGGTTTAAAAATAATATCAGGAAGTATTACTTTACTGAGAGGGTAGTGGATGCATAGAATAGCCTTCCAGCTGAAGTGGTAGAGGTTAACATAGTAAAGGAGTTTAACCCCTTAAGGACACATGACATGTCATGATTCCATTTTATTCCAGAAGTTTGGTCCTTAAGGGGTTAAGCATGCGTGGGATAGGCATAAGGCTATCCTAACTATAAGATAAGGCCTGGGGCTAATGAAAGTATTTAGAAAACTGGGCCGACTGGGTCTTATCTGCCGTCACATTCTATGTCACTTTGTAGCACAGAGCTCCACTCCACTTTTAATGACACACCTGCAATTTAGAAATAATTTGCAACAAGGAAGGCCAAGAACACAGTGATCACGCCATGTTTTGTTCTGTCATTTACAGAAAAAGAAATGTTCCAAAATGCTTTATTTTCAACACCATGATTTGCATAACTAACCAAAGCAAATTCAGTTCTTTCTTCCACATTCATGTCTAGCAAGGTCACATGTGCCGTGAGTTAAAACTCTGGACCGAGAGTCCCGGCAGAGCATGTTACATCCAATCTTCTCATGCGGGTAATGTCCAATCAGATGTCTAAACCCTCTCTGCAGGGGGGGTTCTAAGACCTAGATCCATCAAGTCCTCTCCTCTCAGTCCATCTGCGAGGCATCTAGCTCGTCAAGAAACCGCCGACACTTCCCCATCAGAACTTTAATGGCTTCAGTGAGCAATGTATCCGGAGGCAAGATTCCTGTGGATTCTATGGAGACTGAGGGGAAAAAAAATATATATATATATAAAATAAAAAAAATCCACGTTTTATTTATAAAAACCACACACACACAAACATTAACAGTTAAATATGCACCATATTCAATTTCCCTACTGGAAACTCCTCCCAGACCCCTAAAGGGCTGATCCAGCTAAGCCGTATTAAAATAACTAGGATACTAAGGTTGGAGTAACCTTTTATTAAATATTACATCTTTTCAGACAATCCACTGCTCTATCCTAAAGGAAAACACTAACGTAAGAAAAGAAAAAAAAATTATCTCCCCAATAGAACTGCACCAACAAGGGTTGTTGGAGAAACTGCAAAATATCTGCACTGAAAAAGTTTATTTATATTATTCCACTGTGGGAGCAGGTATATCAGACTATTGCACTCAGAAAAAGGGGGCTGCTGAAACACACATTTACATAGCATTGCTGACCACCTAGCCACACCGTATGGAAAACCTGATTCCTAACCTCCAACCTAAACAATTTCATTTGCTTCTTGGACATTGAGACTCCAGCCAAACTCACAGATGTAATGATCTCGTACACGTTTCATTTGTACCAGGTCTTTTAACTCTTCATGTCTGAAGATCTCACGGCTGCAGGTATCCAATCGTGAACTTGCCACGTGGGCCACCTTTTTACCTATGAAAGAGGAAGTGGAGATCACAGACAAATCTGGAAACAAGGTGAGCTGCCTTTATATACAACAATAAATATACTGTACAAAAGAGAATGACAGAGGTGGGGAAAAAAAAATGATATGTGTTTTTATATATAATATTAATATGTAAAAACGAAGGAAGGAGCTACTGTACATGCAGACACTCACCAATCACCACTTCCATAACTGGATTTGCCAGAGCTAGGTGGCTGGCTTCAATTCAAGAACATTACCATGTTATTCAGGGTCTTGTGCACTTACTGTGCACGAATGAAGGATGCTGAAGAAAAGTTGTGAAATGCATGAATACTGCAACAGAGATCAATAGCGCTATTAAAGGACCACTACGGTTTATGGAATAGGATACAGCTTATTGAATTTGTTCTGGTGAGTAGAATCATTCCCTTCAGACTTTTTCTTGTAAACACCGTCTGTTCAGAGAAAATGCTGTGTTTACATTACAGCCACATGATACCTCCACTGGCCATTCCCCAGATGGCTTCTATTTCTTGAATCTCCACCAGCCATTCCATAGGCGTTCTGTGTGTGGCATTATAATGTACTTTGATATTGAATAGAACAAAATGTTATTTAATCTTTTTTACTCTGATCAGCCACTTCTGAAGATCTAACGGCCCAAAACACTGGTCATTCTTTATACAACGGAAATCAAATACGGTTCACAAAGGTACTTTACATCAGTGTTGCAGGAGTTCCCACAAATGTGTTTCAATTGGAGGTTGCTCTCCGATAACCACATTTATAAGGATTACATGGTCGATTAGGTTTTAATTGCCTTTTTCTGCCTATTATTGCAATTTACTACTTCTTGCAGTCACTGCCTGTATACAGAGGGTTTGGAAGTAATCAATACATCAGGTTTCAAGACCTAGTGTACGGTCAGTCATTACACAAAAAAGGGTCTTTGTTTCAAACGCTTAAATTTACATAATTTGTTTGTGTTTCTATTACACCTGGCAGTTTACCGATTGCAACAGTTCAGGTTATTCACGCAACATGAAGAGCTTAACGGACCACTCTAGGCACCCAGACCACTTTAGCTTAATGAAGTGATCTGGGTGCCTGGTTCAGGGTTAACCCCCCCCCCTTTTTTTTTTTTAATAAATGGGTTAGTCCAGCCTCTAGTGGCTGTCTCATTGACAGCCAATAGAGGCGTTTGCGTGCTTCTCACTGTGATTTTTACAGTGAAAAGACGCAAGCGTCCATAGGAAAGCATTATGAAAGCTTTCCTATGAGACCGGCTGAATGTGCGTGCAGCTCCTGGCGAAGAGGAGGAGGAGAGCTCCCTGCCCGGCGCTGGAGAAAGGCAAGATTTTAACCCCTTCCTCTCCCCAGAGCCCGGCGGGAGGGGGACCCTGAGGGTGGGGGCACCCTCAGGGCACTATAGTGGTCCTTTAAATTTAAATAAAAAGTTGAAAAATGGGTGGGTGAGCAAGCTATAGATAGGATATAAAAGACATATTGATATACAACAATAAGGGAGACTATAACCATCCACCACAGATACTCACCATTTACAAAATCCACCGCGATCACCCCCGGAGAGAAGCAGCGTTGCAACACGTCTGCTAGCTCCCCTTCTACGGGCGCTAAAAGGGTAATCTCTGGAAGTAAGCGGTAGCTTGCTGTAGCCACAGGGGAAAACTTGGCATGATCTTTACCTGTGCAGAAGAAGGAGACATTACCCAAACATACAACACACAAACCCTCCCGGCTGTCCCCATGCCTGTACCCTCTTCTCCCCCCCCCCACCCTCTGCTACCCCCACACCTGTATCCCCTCCCAGTGGCCCCATGCCTGTATCCCCTCCCCGTGGCCGCACGCCTTCACTGCTGTAACCCTATTGCCACATGAGAGTGTCAAATCTAAATTTACTCAGAATTTGATTTTGATCTGGTGACTCCCTGGTCGTGGAAGTTTGCATTAAATGGTCTATTTCTTTGGTCTTACTCACCCACTCCCTTAACGCAGTGCATCAGAACATGTATCTCTTGTCCAGGCCTCAGCTGGGCAATGAGAATGTCATCATGTACAGGCCGTGGTGTGTCCGCCTCAGGAAACAGGTCTGCCTGGTTACCCTGTGGGACCCATTTCATGTGGCTGGTGTACACTGGAACAAGGAAATACACCCACAATTAGTCTCTTCTCAAATAATGTAGTTCAAAACTGATATACAGTGTAAAATTCCACCTCCATAACAGAGAGCTATGTGAGCATTATAATGCCACACCCAGAACGCCTACGGAATGGCTGGTGGCAGCCCCTTCCATTGCAGTCTCACCTTTGTGATTTAAATACAGTTCATTGGGATCAGAGGAATCCTTGGAGGCTTGTGGGTTCCTTGTACACTTCACTTTGAGCTCAAACTGTAGGGTGTCTATTTCTGTGCCTTCAGTGTCCTCTGACAAGTGGAAAAACAAAAACATTAGGAGGGGCGGATCAGTCCTCAGGGATCAATGGACATTAATATTGGAAATCATATCTTCAACACTTACCTGCACTGCGATACTCAAAGAGGCGAGGGTCTGTCCGGATGGGGATGAGGCCCAGGCGATGAGCTAAGATCTCGTCTTGTATTATGGAGGTGTTGTTATAGACAAACACTTTCTCAACAGCCATGGTTGGAATCTGTATATTAGAGAGAAGTGTGAGGGAGGTGCACATAGACTATATTACATGCTAGAGACAAAGCAGCATTCTACATTCAAGCAAGGCGGGTCAACGCGAGGG